CAAAAAAAAAAAAAGAAGAAGAAGAAAATGAAGGAGAAGAAGGAGGAGGAGAAAAGACTGGCCTGAGTACATGAAGAGAGCATCCAATGAATTTAGAAGTGAGTCGATCTCAGGATTTGCTATTTATCTATTTAATTAAAGATAGAAAGTTGTAAAGAGGAAGATAGATTTTCACCAAATTAGAAGGTGATGCTTTTTTTTTTTCCTCCAGAATTAAATGTAGTTATAAAGTATGACCTGCTTGACCCGTTGGATGATTTTTGTCTCAATCAAAAAATTAAACTCTGACCATTAAATTTAACGAAATTTATAAAGAAAAAAGAATTTAACCAGCCAGATTTAATTCAAAAACTATTTTTTCAAAATTTCCAGTAAATATAATAATTAAATTAAATATTTAATAAAATAACAATATTCCCTTTTTACATTAGAAGGGAATATTGACTTAAGTCAAAAACTATTAGCATGTTTGGCTGCTTCGAAAGTGTTTTTTTTTTGCCAAAAGTATTTTTGGCCAAAAATTGAGGTTTGGAAGGAAAAAAGTGTTTTTGAGTAGAAATAGAAGCAGTTTTGGAGAAACAGAAAAAAATACCTTCTCTCGAAAAAGTACTTTTTTGAGAATCACTTTTGATAAAAATACACTTAGAATCAATTTTTTAAAATTTGGCCAAACACTAATTACTGATCAGAAGTACTAATTTTGACAAACGGGTATATGTCACAAAATCTAGAAATCATACGTGTCAAAAGGAACAAACTAGAAAACTCTTTTCCGCTATATATGTTGCTGTCCATAACCGAATAAGCTAGTGTTGGGTTCTAGAAACCGCTATAACCTTCTTCGAGTTCATAATCGAATAATTAAGCATACAGACATTGTGGAGGTGTCCTAAACAAATTGATAAATTGTTCTTCTGCGCACTTGCATTTCTCTCCTCTCTCTCTCTGTGTGTCTGTCTGAGAATCAGGAGGAGGCGGATAAAGATGGCAGCATACAGGTGGAAGAGTTTCAACGATGAGGAAGAAGATCGTCCGGAGAAACCTCGTCGCTATGGCGTTACTGAAATGAGGGGACCTCATTATTCCCTTTTTTCTCGAGGCCTCCTTGAGGTACCCTTTAGTTTTTCTTCCACACATTAAAATTGTATGTATTTGCAGATTATTATTCGAAATTGAGCTTAGTTTCGTAATTGTGAAATGTTGAGCCTCATGGAACTGAAATTACTGTAGAATTGACTAAATCGCTTCATTTAAAAGCTTAAGTCATTAGGTCTATGCACGGATTGAACCATGCACGTCTAGCTGTTGAAATGTGTGAACCGTCCCATCCCAAAGTTTAAGTGTTCGGAGATGTGATTCTTTTAGTATTTATTTTTTTAGATCTACAACAACAGGGAATTAATGTGCTTTCTAGTTTTAAAAATTGTACTTAAAATGCATATTTATGCTTTGGGAATTCAAAATTCTGTTTGCTCCTAGCTGTAGAGGGTAAAATCTGCAATTGATCTGGGTAAGGGGGCACTAGCAGCAAACATAATCGAATTGAAATAACTAGAATGAAGAACACAAAGTAAGAGAGAGAGAGAGAGAGAGAGAGAGAGAGTGGTTGTGGGATTTTAATATTTATTGAAGGTCTGTGTTCTGGATCGTTACAGTTCTTTCTTGAAATAAAAGTACAATATTCTATCTACTGTAAGAAAGTTTAAAGGGAGAGCAATAATGGAAAATATTAAGTGAGCTGTATAGTGGTTTCTGAGGAACAAGTTGATAGCAGAGTGCTTGGTTTTTCGGTTATGGAAGGTCTGACTTCCTTATATAGAGAAGGAGAGTCAGGTCTCTCAAAGTCCGAGTCCAGTTGGAGTATCTAAAGATAGAGATGTGGGTTTGTTGGGTGAAATCTTGACCAAGTATCTCAGGGATGGTTGAAGAGTCCATTGGACTCAGCTTTATCCCTTTAGACTCGGTTGCAATCCGTTCATGGATAGGTTGTTAGCTATACACAGGGAGGTTGCAATTTGTGTCCTAATTTCCGAGCGTAGCACTGCCCGTACACTCGGGAACTTGGTACACTCGAGAACATATGTCCAGTCCTGGAGTATGTTGTATGCTGAAGCAAATAAAGGCGTTGGGCTCTTTAAATATGGGAGTTGGTTCAGGGCCGTGGCAAGCGCGTCTTGTTTTGACCACTATACTAGTAATGCTAAAAGAACTCAAAACTGTGTGTTTGACTCTTAGTGTACAAAATTCTATGCTAGTTTATGTTCTCACTGATCCAATTTGTTGAATTTCTCATTTTCTGGTTTATAGGATGTTTTCGAGTCTATGGGTCAGTTTGTTGACGGGCTGAAGTTCTGTGGTGGATCTCATACTCTGATGCCAAAGACTTACATCAAAGAAGTGACTGACATGGCACATAAACACAATGTTTATGTTAGCTCTGGTGATTGGGCAGACCAAATGCTTCGCCAAGGTCCTTCTGCAATTAAAAAATACATTGAGGTATAAGGAAGTGAATGTGGCTCCAGTTCTTCATTTCCAACTGATTTTTGAATTTTGGCAATAACGTGTTACTTGTTAATCTCTTAGGAATGTAAGCGATTGGGGTTCGATACAATTGAGCTTGATGTTGCATCACTTGGTTTACCTGAGGAGACCCTCTTGAGATATGTGCGGTTGATCAAGAGCGGTGGGCTCAGAGCGAAGCCTCAGTTCTCTGTTAAGTTTAACAAGTCTGATATAGCCTTCACGGGTGACAGAGCTTTTGGGGCTTACGTGATTCCTGCACCTCAAACCTCTGGTATGCTAGTGTCTTCCGGTTTATATTTATTTTTTCTATTTTCTCTCTTCTTTCTCTTAGCGAGCGGCACTGTCACCACTGGAAGATCTTCCTATAAATTATTTTCTCGAGACTTTTAAAAGTGTCCTCTTTATAAATTAATGACTAGTGTTGTAGATAGATAACAGATGCAACAATAAAACAGAGGTTGCATCAGGATATTTGTTCATCATTTAAACATTAATTTATGAAGATCATTTGTTCTATGTCCAGACAGATATTATTTTGAAATGTTATTTGTAGACTACTAAGGAAAAGACTTTTTTAATACATTCATACCTCTTTGTATACAAATGCACCTGAGTCCACATACATAGTACTAGAAATTGCATATGAATACCTTAACGCTAATGAGCCCAGCTAAAGTTGTAAGTAGTTAGCTGTATAGCTGCATTTTTGTAACTAGGATTTCTTCATCAATCACTGTATAGCATCTCATGGAATTTTGGACAGTCGGTATTTAAAATAGGTGTAACCTACGATGCACGGTGTTTAGGTGCCGCCTAATTGCTTGACCTTGAAAATTAGAATTATGACATGGCAAATCAATTTGACCAGAAAAGTTGATATTATGGAAGCATTTTCGTTCTAATGGGCCACGACCCTCCGGGATTTCTCGGTTATCAAAAAATAATTTACTCTACATGGTGATTCTAGGAAATGTCAAAAATGTCTTCTAAGCTTTGGAGCCTAGCAAACTCTGGTAGTGGCATTTGTCTAATGCGAGTATTAAGTCTTTGTGATTTCCGTCGACCATGTTTCAATTAGAAATTTATGTCATCTTCATTTCTATTAACCTTGGGATTATGAGACGACAGTGTATGTACTACTAATATTTAGATGCTTCTGTTGTTTAACTGCAAGGAGTTTGTGATCTGCTGCGTAATGTTGAAGTTTGGCAAAATGCCAAAGTCCCACATCGGTTGGGAGTTAAGTTTGGGGGGGGGGGGTTTCCCCCTATAAAAGAAGGCCTAATGTTTAGGATTTAAACACACCTCTCATTTGCCTTCTCATCTGTTTAAGGCATTTGTATCTTCTCTCTTTAGTATTATTTCACTTGTATTTTTGGAGTGGAATAAAATATTTGGTTGTGTCCGAGGAGTAGGCAAAATTAGCCGAACCTCGTAAATTCTGGTGTTCCCTTTATTGTTGCTTTATTGTCTTATTTATTATTTGGTGGTTGTCATAATTTTTGGTATAGTAGTTGTGACTTATTCACACTCTATACATTTGGCTTCCGCAACAATTGGTATCAGAGCCAAGGTACTGTCTAAGTATGCTCTGTGGTTGCAGCATAGTCTGATCTTCCAC